ATCTATATCAGTATATTTGTGTTTAGACTTTAAGCTTGAGTGGTCTGTTGACCGGCTGTTGCATTTGTTCAAATAACTGTTATGGGCCGGTTACAATATAAAAATGTTTGTCATAATCATGTCTTGTGATTATTTGACAGGAGTTTTACTTTTAAACTGTAAGTGTATTTAATTTAGTTATAATGTAAATACAATAAAAATTAAACCAAGATTTAGAATAATTATCATTTTGATCCGTACATCTGACTGGACCTCGTGACACTTTATGTTCAATAAGTTGGGCTCAGAGGTCAAAAAGGTTAAGAACCCCTGCCTTAGTGCTTACCTAGCATGTAGCCTGTCCCTGCAGGTACGCAGTACTTATCTGTTGAGTACCAGGTAAGTATCTGGGTAGTACTGAGCTGTATTAGCACCAGTATAAATTGTTTTGCTTCTCACCCAACAACCCCCTCTCCTTTAGTTAGTGATGACAAAGTGTTCTCTTTAGGAAGTTAGATTGAAATGTATGGCGCCTAATTTCTCTCCCTAGAATGAATACATGAATAAGAAGTTGTACCATTTTTCACACACTACCCGACCGTTGGATAGAATATTGTTACTGCTGCCCCAGAAAGTTGCAGAGAGAACCATTTTTCACCTGAACAAGCATTAGGGTGTCATTTTGAGCATTATTCACTGTGTGCTGAGCGCTCTGACATGCTGTGAAATATTTCTTGCGCTGACCTCAGATTTCTGCAAGTAGGACAATTTTCCCTCCAGCTCCGAACGCATGCCAAACTTTAGAAGGTGAAAAAATTTCCACAGAATCATAAATATAGATCGTGTCTGATATCTGTGAGTTTTTATGCTGACTGATATTTCACTCCATTTGCTGTCTGTTATTCATAACCAAACAGGATGTTGACTCAGTTCTTTTCCTCTTGAGCCTCAAACAGCTTGTTGACTGAAGCAAAATCTCATCCAGTTCAATTAAAACAACAGAAATATTAACAACTTGCTAGAATATAAATTGTAAAAGTGGGCTACATATTGTATTTGTTTCTGGTTGTACAGGAACATTTTAAACAGCTAAAGCCTAACATTAAGTTTATCAGCACTCACAGTAAATATTATAGAATGGAAACAGACATACGAAAAAATAAGTGAAAACACTCAAAATAGTGTCATAATAACAATGTAAGTTTACTTTATAGATGTGTAAGAAAATTTGTATTCAATAAACTGAAGTCAAGATGATAAACACAAATGTTAAATAAAATGATTTCTGAGAGGAATGAAACCATACAACAACAGAACTGTGGAATCTGAGTGGAGGTTTATTCTGCACCTGCAGACCGGAAACCCACACTGCACATAAAACAGGAAGTTCATGTATTTATACAGTTTCTTAAATGCCTTCGCTCGCCCCCTACTGACCTACGGCTGAGTCACAGGCATTCAGACAAAACTCTCAGCTAATGTCATTTAAGCGTTTTATTATGTGTTGTAAAAGATGTTTCAGACATGTAACTAGACCTATTTCAATCAAAACGGAATAGATTAAACTGTCAATATTTCAAAAAGGAGAACTTAAGAATATAGTGTTGTGCTTCTAACATCAGTACTAACCTCCTTAACTCTAACTTTCTTCAATCCCCCAGTTCACATGACCAAATCATGTGAACAGATGATTATTAGATTTGTTGAACATTAGACCATAAAAAGAAATCATCAGCCTTCAAATATGTAGTTTATGATTTGACAAAACAAAATACTTAGATTTGTAGTTTCCCTTTTGATAGCAGGCATGTGTCACATGTTAGTGCTCATAGGTTGTAAAACCAATGGTGCATATACATATATATAT